TATATATATATATATATATATATATATATATATATATATATATATATATATATATATATATCATATATATTAAATAATATATATTAAAATTATATATATGATTTAATATGTATGATTAAAATGTTTATATTTATCATTTATCGTGTGGTTACTGTATTTTATCTGTTATAGAAAATACTTGTAAATTTGAAAATTTATTTAACTTATACAAATATTGGTTAGTGAAATAATTTCCTAAATATGATATAGAACGGTATTATAATTAAAATTACGTATATTAAATCATATACGACCACAATGCCAAGTAAATAAACACCATGGTTTTGCATCATTTGTTAATGTATTAAATCTATTAAAAAATAGATTTGATAATTGATGGTTAAAAGGTTAAATTTCCTTTACCATAATTAATCATTTGTCACATAATACAAACAATTATTGATAAACACTAATTTTTATTATGTCAAGAAGTATATGATTAAGATGATTATATTAATTGCATATTGCGGTCTGGTGTTTCGGTCTGGCTGTATAGAGCTTGGGCACTACAATGCGATAGTTATATTAGGTTCGATAGAGAGGCTATGCCATTCAATGCATAGAACATTAGATGTTGAGTTCATAGCTAGACGTAAGTCAGTTAGCGGCAATCCTTTGGAGGACATCACCCCAGAGCACCCATCAGCGCGAACAAACCGCAAGGAGGGTGCAGACGATTACCAGCCACATCAGCATACCAGGACCGGGGACTACCCCCGGGAGCACCCCTGATGGTCCAACGGTAAACAAACCGAACAATACCCAGGGCGTAATTCCCCCTAATTTGGGGTTTTCTCTTTCAATATCAGCTAAACACGGAATTTACATCTTCCTCTAGCGTACTCTGCTCTCGTTCCAAGTGTTGTCTCCTGCATACGAGCCCAACGTGGGCGCGTCAGTACCTATTTGAGAATACTGGACCTTCCCTGCCAGCTCCTGGGGAGACACTTACATAAATAACATATGGCGGAGATATATGTTGTTCCGTTCGTCGTTATTTATTTGTGTACTCGGTTTCCAGATTGTCCTGGACCTGCCTTGCTAGACCCCACGGACTAGAGCTCCTCGAAGCTGATACATATGTGCACCACATTGTAATACACTGCATTACAGCTGTAATACCCTGGGTATCGGCAGGCTAGTTCCACATTTACTGGAATAGTTATAAAAGAATCTCCGGTCTTTGGACATAATAACTATATAGACTACACGGGACTATTTCATTTTATTTAGCAACAGGGACTCGCCCCCCCCGCCTTGCAATGATCAGGGAGGGGAGGCGATAACACGCTAGAGGAAAAACACCCATACGTAACCTCAAACCTTAAAATATTGTTTTTGANGGTTCGCGGGTTACGCTCATAGCCGCTAGACACGCCAGGCCATTGTTGGGTCAGTCCGCTGTTGTAGTGCATGAGCGCTACAATGTATTAGTTTTCTGAGCTCCGTTCGAGGAACTACCCCAACTAGTGGTTAGTTTGCCAAATATTGAGTTTGCAATCATATTTTTGGAAAACTAACCCCTGTTTTGGCCCAAGCCTCTAATGGGTTGACGCTGAACAGGCATAGAAAAAGGTGGAAAACTACATTCCGGTTTTGATGGGACCGTTGTCCCGGAAGATCCCTTCAGGGACTCCCCTGAGGCAGTCCCCATAACCAGCCCGTTACTGCGGTTGGGTGACGTTTGCACACTCCTTGAAGGTTATGCCCGCGGCTACTGACGGATGCTCGGTGGGGATCCACTCCAACGGATTACCGGGTGTTGGCAAAACCATTATTGCGAACACAGTATTTGGCTAACTGACAGCTAATTAGGTTCATCCCCTCAACAAAGCTAGAATAAATAATGCATTGTAGTGCTTTACACCTGTTCCCCAGGATGTCAGCGCCTGTAGCT